TTTTTTTTTTTTTTTTTCTTCTTTTTCTTTCTATTTTCTTTTTTCTTTTTCCTTTCTTCTTTCTCATTTTGTCTTTCCGTTTTTAGTATAGATTATGATAATAAAGAGGCAGTTCGGAGCAATCTTTCCGGCGTACGTGCTGCACCTCAAATAAAATCCCCCACTTGCGGTATAATCAGCTACATGCAGGCTTTGGGAGCAACTCGCTCTCGGATGTTCACGAAGGTTTTGAAAACCGGTTTTCTGCGTGAATATGGGACGCATAGGACCTTGGATAGCCCCTTGTTGCACTAGTCTTAGTTTTCGTTTTTCTTTCTTTTTTGTTGTCTTTTCTTCTTCCCCTTTTTTTTTCTTTTCTTTTTTTTTGCTTTCTTTTGACCGTAGGATTTCTGCATTAAGTGTGTGAATGAGAACGATAGCTTCCATCGGAAGATTGCTATTGCTAATTGGGCACCGTGACTATATCAGAACAGAACGCGGGGGTTCTATTCATCGGACCATCGTGCGGTAATTGTTTTCAGACAACGAATAGGGCACGGTGCGTTCCAGTTTTGCGCTCGGCAGGATTGAGCTTAGCGGCGAACTATATGGACTTCTTCGTCGACTGGGACCTGGAGGAGGAACAACAGGAGTTGGAGGAAGCGGTAACGTCCCCGACGAGTGGCACCCGCCCGGTTTTGCCTGCGCATCCCTGCGCCTAGGCACACCCCGGCCAAGCGTCATGCAGACCGCCCCCACTTGCCCCGCCGAACCTGTTGTGCCTCGCCCATCCCCCTTCGCGCGAAACAGTGCTTTCTTGCTCCTCCTCCTCCTCACGTTGCTTCCGAATCTCGCCATAGCTAGCGCACTCTTTGCGGCATGCCTCTCCGAGAAAGTGTTTCTTCGCGTTTCCGCTAAACGCTTTGCGATGCTGATTGTGAGCACCATCTGCTTTATATCTCTTTTTCTCGCATGCTGCTGCTGCCTATTCTTTGAGCTCTTCGCCGCACGGGGGTTTGCGGATTAGCTGGGGAAGGATATCGAGGAGCGGAGACAATGGAGCATAGATCGGCGGCCGAGGCTTCGTTATGCGCCTTTTTGGCGTTCCTCTCCTTCCTCTCCTTCCTCTAATTTCTCTACTTCATCCACTCCCTTCCCCATCCCTTGCCACATGAACCCCCTTCCCCCCTCTCCCCCTCAACAAACCTCGCCCCTCGCCCTCAAAACCACCCATCATCCCTGTTCCGACACCCCCCCCCTTGCCCCCCCTCGACCCCCTCACCTTCCAAAGATCATGGAAGATGTCCCTCCCTGCGGATACAGGGCGCGCCAGACCTGGAGGATAGAGCTGAAGCGAG